CACCCTGAGGAAAACATTGTCAAAACCAAAAGGAAAGCGAGAGACACTAGAACGACGGAATGTCGTATATAGAGTAAACTGTGTAAACTGTGAAAAGCATTATGTGGGACAAACAGGAAGGAAGCTGTCCACAAGGATACATGAACACCAAAGAGCGTGCAAGGAACTTGACGCAACCTCATTGGTTTCGCCACACGTGGATGAAGACGGACACCGCTTCAACTGGAACAAAGTAGAGATCTTGACCGAAAGAGAAACACAAAAAGGGAGGGAGTTTCTCGAGGTCTGGTTCTCAACGACGAACTCAATCAACCTACACATCGACGTCGATGCAATATACCAAGCGTTAAGAAAGAGAGAACTGAAGAGGACTAACAACCGTTGTTCGAAAGAACTTAATCCAACACCCAGATAATGAACAACATGGTCAATGTGAGCCCAGACTGCGCACCCACACCCGTTGCACCAATCTTTGTGCGACAATCCCAACCACGTTTTGGGAACATTTTCGCAGCCAATGACAGTGACTCGAGCACGACCGCAGAACACAATGATTCACCAATGTGTTTATATAAGGAACGAATTGGTTGCTGACAGTATGCATTATTGGGTTTGCTTTCTACTAGCTATTGCTACTTGACTGCTATCAATCCTGCACTGAAGATGCCACCTCGAATGGTGACGAAACGTTTGCAATCAAGTTGCGCAGCTCGAAGAACTCCACAACAACTGAGCCAGGCTCTCGAGCTACCAATATTCCAAATCCTTAGGCTATGGCTATTGTAGATAGCACCTAATACGTTTAGTCCTTAAATCGCAGTACGCGAGCACTGCCCTCTCTCTTTGACGTACTGAGGGAGGATGTCTGCCATTATTTCTTGCTGTCATCCGCCTCAGGTCCGATAACACCTTGTCCTTAGGGTATGTAATAACTGAACGTGGTATGGAATTAACTGTGGTAGCTTGTGATATTAGGAACTTTCGTGGGCATATGCTAACAGTCCAATTCTATGCGGTTCTCTGCCGTGTATGTGGTGCGTGCTGCACTGCAGATTACTGCCACTCGCAGTAATCTACAACATTAAGTCCTACGATTATATCGAAACTTGCTTCCAGTTGTATCGCCAAGGATAGGTTAAACGGAATAGATAGAGTCGAACCGTCCATCCGATCGAACCTACTGTGGTTTATACGCACAGAATTTCACCGACCAGCGTGCCTCTACAAAAGGACAGGCAGTTAAGATTGAAGCGGCTCTTCGTAGAGTCCACCGTCGACTAGAAATCTTGAGGAGTGATACAGTCGATGGCATTTCACACATACGGCCGAAAAGGAAAGCAGGAAGGCGTTGAGGATGCCTCCACCAGCCCCTTCACCGATTCTACTTCTTCGCCTGATTTTCAGTCTGTTCCCCGCACGTGATAGTGGTCTATTGGGCGCTTTTGCTTATGGCTCAGATGCTTTTCTACAGCATGGCAGATCTGCGGCAGATTCCCAGATCGATCTAATTCTGATCGTTTTGAATCCGCTACGCTGGCATATGGACAGTATTCAGCGCAATCCGCTGCATTACAATTATCTCATTCGTCCCAGTCTTAAAACATTTCGAACACCATTTGTGCTCGAAACTGTTCTTTTCAAATGCCCCTTCCACAGATTTATTTCAATCCATTTCTGACTTGGTACGATCCATTCAAGCAACAGCAAGTATCTACCAAATATGGCGTCGTCAGCCTACACAGCGTCATGCGTGATCTCACATTTTGGTCCGATTTGTATATAGCTGGTCGTTTGCACAAACCTGTTCTCTGGGCACCTTATCACAACCATGTGGCGGACAGTCAATCCGAACTATGTGATAAATTCAAAATCGCTCAGTAGATTAATCTTTTGGTTGCTGTGTCTTATGTTCTTCTCAGCTTACCTCCCGATACTGAAATCCTAGAAGAGCCAGACCTATTGCATTCACTTGTGTCTATTTCTTATGATGGTGACTGGCGCATGCTCGTGGGTGAAGACAAGTACAAAGTTTCCCGGTTGGTGACCGGAGCAGATAGACTGTTCCGTTTTCCTCAACTTTACATGACGACGTTTACTCATCCAGCGCTACGCAATCTTGTTCGCCTAATCCCACCTCCGTCGCCATTGTTAGATCTTCACTTTTTCTCGCTATTCCGAATTAAACACCCAAAAATTTCTCCGCAAAAATTCTACCCCAGCCGAAGAAAAATCAAAATTTTAACGACCTTGACCACAAAAAACGTGTTAACAAAGAAGCTGCCAACGTAGCCAAAAACGCCGCCAAAAACGCTGTACCCTCAACTCCGAGGCAAAGTACAATTAGCTGGGTGTTTAAAAACTCGTTCGTCCTCCTGATCGACCGCACGGGGGAGGCGATTCCCTTCACCCCAGCTTTCAGTCACCATTACATACTTTCCATTTTCTTTCATTTCGTAGTTCGTGTGTTGCAAGTTCCATAGCCTCTTCCTTTATGTTTTTACCTTTTCCCGGATAGGGGTGTGTTCGGCCATCCTCATACATGACTTGCAGCCACGTTTACATGTGAACCCAGATGGTGTTTCTTAAGCATCCTATTCCCCCACCTCCCGATCTTTTGTACTGGATATTTCGGTCTTGTTAAAAGCAGACAATCCCGAACAATAATAGCACACCACAGTGAACATCTCCGGGTTTCTGATATCCACAAATCACACTATTGTCGCTTCCTTCTCTTCTATTCTTCATCCGTGAAGTATCTATTCACCCTATGGGTACCGGCAAGCGATCTTTGATTTCTGCTGGTTGTTGCCTAATCTCATGTTGACTTTTATTAATATGGTCATCACCATTCATCCGGAGTCAAGGTGTCTAGTGTCTCCGGGACACGCTCGCAGGACAGGAACGTTTTACTGAGCGGAGATCCGGTTCCGACCACTGCGTTTGCACACTTCACCTACCTGATTATACCTAATCCTCCGTTTGCGTTATCCTGGGCTTCGGTCTTGCGCTGCTTAAATGGACCGAACTCATTTTGCTTGAATTAATCTCATTGAGTTACCACGTAGCTACTAGACTGTCCTGTTAAATGAAAATCCGGTGGGATCTATTGACGTGAAGCTATGAAGAATTTGACCGTACCGTCCTTCCTAGTGGAATGCACGATATCACTCATACTAGTTATTTGGCATCCTGTATGGTGTGTAGTTGGTGACTCGTCGCTACTCCACTCGCTACCGCTTTTTAACTTGTTCCAGCTATTCAATCGTTTCTTCTTGACTTTCTCTCTTTCAGTGTTTTCATTCCTCATGTCATTGCTTCAGTGTTCATCACACCAGTGGTTGCAGTTGTTGACTTATGCTGATGTGGGCAGTGATACAGTCGTTTTCATATCACACATTAGTTGTGGATGGTTTTCTGCAGGGAGAACTGTTTATGTTTCCATTTGTGTACCTTTTGTAGTTTTTCCAACAGGAGTCGTCACCACAATGCTCAGCTAATCAGCCACAACATATTCTCCTAAACACTGAACTGTTGTTTTGTTCTATTATAATTCATCAGCCGCGCGCGATTCCTTTCGGGCTACCGACCTGCAACCTCTCAATCTGCATTCTTCAGCTTGTTCCACTGAGCCATGGATAGCCGTGCTCAGCGCCTCTTCTGCGAACTACAGGACATTGTCGGCCTTCAAACAGACGACTGTACCAATCTTAACTGATTAACCGTGAACGATGCGTCAGTCCCCACATATACGACCGCACTCCCATTACACCAGCCATGGTTGTGTGCATGTGACCCTTCGGTGCATCATCGTCATTATACACGTTAGCTAGAGGTGGGAGACACCTCAGCTATTGTGCCCCAATACATGGGAGAGGAAAACACAAGAACGCCAGCTGAGCCACCAATAACGGATGGCCATCGTTCCAGAGAGCTGGCAACCGGCTGCTGTGCGGTGAAAAGGTTAGATTATGCTTCAGGAACGAGATCGTGGTTGGACAGGGAGGCTAAGCGGGAGAGGGAATAAACTCACAAAACAAACGCCACTGAGATCGTCTCTTAGCCATATCAACAAGCGTATCTCGCCAAACGTGCTCATCGTCTTTCACCCCCCCCCCCCAATCGGGTAGCCGAAAAACCCTAACCGAGGCCAAATTAGCACTAAGGACCTTCACTCTTGACCAAGTTGACCTTCCTCTCATCTTCTTCCATCCACACCCCGACGCGCAAACCGCACGTCGCGGGAGCCGGTGTGCTGCGTTTGGAACACGTGGACCAACCATCGGAGCCTGGTTCATTAAATAACGGTATTGAGCGGTTCACTTCTCTTCCTGTGCCATAGGCAAGGCGCCGAACACGTTCATTGCTCACGCGATGTTCTTCTTAGACGTGAGCCAAACTGCGAATGCACCGGTGGTCGAACGTAACTCACTTCTTAACGTCTGCCGATCTAATGGGTCAGGTTTCGCAACCGTAAAGTAGAGTCGGGCGCACGCGTGCATTGTGCACTCTACCCTTCATGGAGAGAGTGTTGTCGCGCCGGCACCGTAGGTGGCAAACATTAGCAAAACCCCTCGAGCTTTTGCTATACGGTTCGTGATCTCGTCTTCGATTCCACTGGCGCTGATACAAGTGCTCACGTAGTTGCATTTCTTAATTATTTCTAGCTGATCCCCTCCAAGGATCAGCGCAGGACACAGTCCCTTCCACTTCGAGGGTACAAGATGAAGCCCGAAACGACTGACATCCAGTGCTAATCTGTCCAGTGCAGCTTGGCACGTTTGTGGGCTGTCACCTATGAAGGTAATGTCGTCAGCATACTCTAAATCAAGAAGTCGTTCGCCTGGGAGCAGCTCCACACCTTCTAAGTCGTGTCATGTGAACGCGATCTCCATGACTTCGTCAATAACGAAGTTGTAGGGGAAAGGTGACAGCGAGCATCCCTGTCTTACGCCGCTGGTTATATTGAAGGTCGGCAACACCTTGCCATAAGCCCTTATTCCGCCCAAGCTAACGTGTATAATGCAGGGACAATATTTACATATTGCTCGGGCACATTTTTCATTAGCAGCCCGTTCCGTGTGGCATGTTGACCTACTGAATCGAAGACATCTTTGATGTCGAGGAACACAACTGTGGTGTCCTACTTTCAGCCTCCACACCCCTATGACTTCCTAGTCTTGATTATGGCAATCCTGGATTGACGCCCTGGGTACTTCCTATCCATGCCTCATGTGGAGCCGGTGATCCCCCACACTATGTGGGCAACTAATGTCCAACGCCGAATTGGTAACACTGGTGGTCCAACGGAACGCCATCCTCATACGTGTACCAATGTATTCACGGTGTGTTTGTGAACGAGGCTTATGGTTCGAGTATACTGTACTCATTGCACTAGAATGTTCCCCTATACGTCACATGTATTACGAGGAGTTCCGTTAAGCATTCCGTTTTATCCCTGACTGAAACTTGTGTAGTCTCATTGAAAAACCTATCAGCAGTACGCCAGTGTGTTGCATCGACGCGTCGCTATCACGCGCCCGTTAACACTCACCTGCGGCTTGGGGACATTGGGAAGCCACCCGCGCTTATATTTAGGCTCAAACCTGTTACCTGTGGATTCTGCGACGCAATAGCTGAGGTGTTTTCCACCTCTAGCTAACGTGTATGTTGACGATGATGAGCTGTGGATTTCAAACCTGATGTGATACACTCGGTCAGCAGCCGGCTCCTCGACGCGCGCGTCTTCCTTTTCTGTTTGTGCTTGCTATTTCCCAGTATATCATACATCTGCTTTGTATAAATGTATCTTCTGTGCAGACTGAATCCCATACCTTATATGCATACTAACACATTACTCCGGATTGAATCGATGCCATTCGGGATAACTCCAATGATCCTGACTAGCAAGTGGCCGGGTTTAAGAATACCATTAGCATATTCTCCAAGCTGTCATCAGCCTCGTACATAGGTCGACTATCGAGTTTATTTGATCACTGAACTGTTGACCTGTTTAGGATGCAGGCTACCTGCTAACTTGGAAGGCCTTGAGATTCACAAAAGTAGGTTGAACTCTCTTAGCTTGTCTACTCTTAATAACCGTATCCAGATCTTCGAAGAGCGGTTTTTATTCCCTTGGCCAACTACTTCCTTTCAACTCTACGCCGGTACTATTCTACTGTCTGGTAACGAGATGTGCGCATGCCAATGATTCATTCCGGAGGACTTTCCAATGAAAACACCTTTAAACTAAACTGCTTTGGTTAACACACCGTGGTATCCTGGCACCTCACTCTCCTATTACTTACGTGGTTTGTCATTTGCTCATTCACTCCTGTGTGTTCGCAGGTCTCTGTGGATACGGTGCTGAAAGAGTTCAGCAGAAATGTGGCGAAAGTGAAAACCGTACTTGTCAACGCTGTTGAGCTAATTGGGCGCCGCGATTGGACAAGTGTCATAGAGGCGAATGAGGTTAGTGCGGTTCCTGGTTTACCTTATTTCTTCCGCCTGATTTGTTGTCTGAACAACTTGGTTGATCGTTCCATGTTTGTTCGTCCGGTGTCCGTCTTTCTGCAAATCTCCCGATTGTCCCACCGGCCCAGTTGTATGCTGCTCATCTGGTATCGCCTCCGCGTCCCCAGCCGGTAGTGGGTTCTTACCCCCTTTTCCTCTTTTGTCTTTTTACAGCGGTTAGTCTCACAAAATAGGCAAGATTTACTTCATCATTCCGGCTGATGTGTTCCCCCTCCCCGCGCACATTTATTTCTTGCATTGTATCTGTTTTCTACTTCAACAGGGTGAATATTATTCTTTCTCTAGCTTCGCTTTTTTTAGCATTCTTTGCTGCACTTTAGTGATGAAATAGATTGTTCACCAACGCGTTGCTTCTTTCTGATTTCCACCAGGTCTTGCCCGCGTACCAACAACCTAAGAGATGCTGCGGTTTTCGATTTCTTGCGAATTGATTGCTTTATGTGGACCAGATTGACGTACCGTACCGCATCCAATCATTGCAGACAGCTGACTACTGTCCTGGCTTGTTTTAGCTCACGTCGAACCGTATGCCAATTGGTTCTCTAAAAGTCTCTGCATTTGTATTTCAGTCGTTCGGTCGCCTACATTATCAGTCTTGGGCAATCCACAGTAGCCGGTAGGCGGTTACATGGACAACGGAGCAAAGGGGTCTACACAATTCAGGCGTTGAGATGCAACAACAAAATGTCTGGCACCGACCACAAACACGTTGACCTCAGACTAGCTTACCCGACGCGCATATTGTTCACATTCCTTACCCATTCAGTTTCATTGGTCAGGCTGTCGCCTTCACTGGATTAGTTTCTCTATGGACAGGGACTTGAGTAGTCACTCGTACGCTTCTGGTTTGTGCTCCAAACTCTTCGCTACTTTGCACATCGGCACCGAAACAACCGCATCAAACCGTTAAATAATGGAATTTGGACGGCTTCAGCTTGATGGTTTCCCACAGACTCCTAACTAGTGCACTTTGTATGGCAGAACAGACAATACTGGTCAAGTAGATTGTATTAACGAAGTGAACATCAAACGAGGCAAGTTGCCCCTGTCAAGAAGGTGAATGCCAGACTGAAACCTGTGGGACTACATATAAAGTGAAAGGTTTACAAGTGGTGTGTGTTCGTGGGTCAGGCGAAAAGACAAAATAGCGCCTAAGTTTCATTTGTTTCTGTGACCATTCTGAACAGGTACGTGCTTGGGTGTTGTCGGTTGCACACTTGACTCGGAATGCGGTTGATGCGCAGTTACGAATATAGGAACGACACTGACCGAGCGACTGTGCCAACCACTGGTGTGGACAATTCCGGGACCCTATCCACGTAGACGGCATACACCAAGCTGGCCAAGTCTCATTCATTATCTCCACGTCTCGCTTTCGCTCGACTTGGTGCAACGATGGCGTATAATGCACGCCGAGGGGGACGATCAACGTGCATACCAACAACATGCTCTAGCCAACGTAAGCGATTAAGATTCAGCAAACACTCGAATGAGGCTCCAGAAGACTTCGTGATGATGTTTTGGAGTACCCGCCGTGTGTCTGGCTTGACACACGCAATCTCGATTGAGGCTACAGTGTTCTTTAAAGCAAACCTCTTCCATTTCAATCACGGGCACCTCAACCGAAGTTGAGAGTTTCGGGGCTACTCCTTCTCAACACTGCAGTCCACGACCGACCGGTTTCGTCCTGTGTTGGATTCGTCAGTAAAGATAGCTTAAGCTGAGAAAGATACCCGATACAGTGGCTGACGATTTTCGTCTTGGTTACTGGGTCAGAGCTCCACAGCAGTGCTTGATACAGCGGTTAGAAGTTCAGCACAGGCTATTTCTACCTGACGATTCCAAATCAGGACAAAACCGGTCGGTAGTCGAGTGGTGTTGGGAGAAAGCAACCCGTAGCCTAAGGGTAACGTGCTTGTAATCTGGCGGCGCGTGTTCGAGCCTGCGTAGGGCCAAGACCAGTAACCGAGTCGGCCCGTAGCCTAGAGGTAACGAGCTTGTCTCCTAATTTTGCGGCGTGAGTTCGAATCCGCGTAGGATTGGGCGTCCTCGCTGTATACTCAGCCCGCGTGCGACTTTTAGTGGTCGCACGACAGCGAAGCGCCGTTACTGCGTACAGCTGACACACTATCACTATTTTTCAGGGTTTGTGCAACCGTCGAATTATCCTTTGCCCACGTGCGACCGGTGGTGCTTTCGCGACTGCGAAGCGTCGGTACTACCTACCGGCGTATTACTGATGCCTTTCATTTTTTCCACTTCGGATGCGGTCCTAGTGATCGAAATGGAAGAATTTTGTTTCAAAGCAAACTGCAGCCTCAATCGAGACTGTATGTCACAATCCACACGGCGGACACTTCAAAACCTCATAATGAACCTCTAACCGTTGTGTCTAGCGCCGCTGTGGTGCTCTGGCCTAGTGACTAAGACGAAAGCCGTCAACCACTCTGTTGGGATTGTAGAAAACATTCGAACGTTGCGATCCCAATTCCCCTCCATATTCCTTTCTCCTACCAAACATTACGACTATACTACCCCATTTCGTCGTGCAACCCAATCTCCGGCTCGTTCCGCCCTACGTTCCCTTAAATTGTTATCACATCGCATTTCCACGATCCTAAATTGCCTCTACACATTTTTCTTTGTTTACGATCGTCAACATTTTGCACTGCACCGATTGGGGTCGTTTGGTGACCTTCACCGATTATACTTGTCCGCTGAACCTTTGTCCCCACCGGACGAGCCTGTCTGACCATTTCCTCCTTTGTCTATGTGCATCTGTGACTCAGTTGGTGAACGCGCTGCACGGGCCAACTTCACACCCCCCCCCTTGAGGCTTAGCCAATCAGCATCCCTTTTTGGACCGGTGATCAACCAATCTCACTGCTGTACCCGTCTTATAAACAGGTCGTGTACTTTAGTAGTGTGATTTTGCACAACACTCAATGAAGCTGGACTTGTCGACTCGGACCAAACAATTGTCATTGTAGTTGTCCTGAGTTTGGAAGCATAATCGTTAAGGTATTTATTGTATATGCTCATTTCGTCATTTGTACATAGTACTGTCATCCAGTTCCGGATTTGATGTTTCTTTGATCCCGGTGGAAACGCGTCACTCGAACCTTGCAAGCAAATTTTGTTGCTTACAGTACTTAACCTAGCTTTCTTTGGAGTCCAAGGACTTTGACCTGCTTCTTCCCTTTGAAATGACATACATCATTCGAAGTACCAGCGCTGATCAGCGGGTCTAATACGGTTCGAATTTCCATTGAAAGTAATCGCCTCTTGTGTTGAACTGTGTTTTCGAAAAGGATACCCTGCAAAACTGAGGATGAAACTAGGCAAGTCAAATTTTTTGCTCTTGTTGATGACGATGCGGTTTCATGTTCTGGGACACAGGTTAGCGGTAGGAGTAAACGGAGTGTTGGTTCTAGCGGCGCTTTTGCAGCGTTGAAATTAGCAGTTAAAGAGAGAGCAGTTACTAGCCGAGATGGAGTTGGAGAATAATAATCGTGTTTTGTAAGCCGAGAACGTAATAAATATGGCTAAGCTGTGTTTAGAACTAGAGGGGGTTGACAATCATCAACCACCCATTGTTCTCAGTCGACTGCCAGTAGTTAGGGATGAACAAATGGATTGGTTCGTAGAAAACTGCCGCAAGTCGCTGCCTGAAATGACTACGCAAAAATCTTCTCCTGACAGTTTGCGGGAGGATTATCGTCCACGATTAGACCTACCTAGGGTCGGATTTGGGATTTTTGATGGTAATCCGTCAGATTACTGAAGGTTTATGAAGCAATTTGAATATTTCATTAAAGACCGAGTAGCCGATAGAGGCCAAAGATTACTCTATTTGATTCATTATGCAAAATGCCGAACTAAAGAAGCCATCAGCGAATACGTAATGTTGCCCCCTGAAAGAGACTACGATAAGGCTATGGACATTCTCCGTGATCTATGGTCAATACCACGTTGTGGCTAGGTCGTTAATTGACGGTTTATTCGCTGGTTGATAACTCTAGCACATGATCATGGTTCCTTATCACGTCTATCCATAAAAATGGAGAATTGTCACACTGCTCTTTCCTAGATGGATTTCACTGCTGACCTGGACTCGATAGCTACCATTGAACGATTGGTCCGCGTCTTGCCCAGTAGCCTACAGTCAAAATGGGCAGGAGCAGCGGGTTCCTTCGTCCAGGAGGGACGGGAAGTTTTCTTTAGAGCATTGGCAGACTTTATCGCCACCGAAGCGCAAGTAGCACGTAGTAGATTTAGTCAGCTGGCGACGACGAGCACTCGGCGTCTCCAAAATGTGGCACAGTCGCAACGGTCGGATGATAAACCTACCGACTGTAATTTTGCCTTTTATTCACCGTCGGAGCAGCCCCAGCAACCAGCATGCCTAGCCTGCAACGAAGCACATGACACGTTCGCATTCCAGGGGATTGGCGGATGCCCTTGTCTCTTCAGTCGACTAAACATGAATGTGAGGCCAGCTACGTCATTTCGCGGACTGTGTTGCTTGCGACCATCACCCCATGATTCTGGTACACTAACAGCGTGCGTGCAAATCGCTCACTTGTGCACTCGTGGTTTTTTCCACTGTGGCTCAGCGGCATTTTGTCGCACACCTTTTGATCTGTACTCATTCGTCGTACTTTTAAAAGCTCCACCTTGTGATACCATTTTCTCGAATACACTCCAGTGCATCCTACCTTTACCCTGAATTCTAAATTCCGATTGGTGTTTTGCCGATATCTAAGCGCCATCAGTTGCGTAACTCCAAGCATCGGAGACATCGTTTGATCTCACTCGATAGAAAATTTCAACGGCTATGGAATGTAATGGCACTCGTTCAAATCCAACATTGCAGATCTCAAGGCAAATTCACCCGGCGCGATTCATAGGCTTAACCAGGAAAATTCTCAATGACGCCCTCGTGTAATCTGCTCCACCTTGACGCTGACACGTCAGAGAGGACAACCTGCAAGCACACAACTGCAACCTGCACACTGTGACCTCGCTGACAACGTCAGTAACAGAACAACTTTTACTATAGAGGGTGAATCATTCAGATGGTTCGTAACCTTTTCTCATCAAGCGCGATTCCCAGTGTGCCACAGTTTAAAGACCTATGTGAATCATGTTACAAACTTGTTAAGGGGGCATTTTCTGCGCTACCGTTGCAATTGTTTCAT